TGGGGGCAAGAGGCTGGCTCTGTAAACCATTTAGAGAGGGCTGGAAAACACTGAATATATAAAGTCTAACTGCTATCCCTTCCCTTCCTCCCTCCCTCCCTCCCTCCCTTCCTTCCTCCCTCCCCTTCCCTTCCCTTCCCTTCCCTTCCCTTCCCTTCCGAATGCAGTATTGCAGGCCGACTCTGCTCATTGCCAGGAGTTCAATCCTGAGCAGCTCAAGATGGACTCAGCCTTCCGTCCTTCCAAGGTCGGTAAAATGAGGACCCAGATTGTTGGGGGCCAGAGGCTGACTCAGTGTAAACCGCTTAGAGGGGGCTGTAAAGCACTGAGAAGCGGTATATAAGTCTAAGGACTATTGCTATTGCTATTTTCTAGAATTCAACTGAAGTAGCCTTCCTTTTGGGGGTGATTCCCAGAGGATGGCTCTTTAAAAAAAGCAACTTTGGAATCCTGACCTGGATGACTGAGAATCTACACCGCAGACCTTCTCTCTGAGACTTTGGGGGAAATTTAATTGGCCGCCCGGGGTCCTCCCGGCCCCAGGGGCACGTATATCTTTGGGCTCAACCACTGACCCGTTTGCGGGATTTCTTCCGCCAGCTCTTCTCCTGCTCCTCATCCCACCAGTTGCGGCTCGTCATGTAGTGACGGAGTCGTGAGATGGGATGGTCTTGCTTGTCCCAATAATTGACTTCATCCACGGAGCGGTAGGCTGAGCTGTCATCGCTGGTGCTGTGGTGCCCGATCCTGGGAGAAGGAGGCGACAGGGGGGAGGGACCGGGGGGTGGGACACAAAGTTGATTTTGACCAGACCCCTCTTCCAACCGCCTGGTCCACTTCCAAACCAAAGTGGTCTTCAGCCAGTTCGGACCACTTCTGGAGAACCGACAGCGGCCATTTTGAGTAGTTCGGAGAATCGGCCAATCCCGCCTCTGTCTGGCCCCACCAACCCCATCTCTTCTCTGCCTCCCATGGAGCCCCAGCTGATCGGCTGGGTCTTCTTTGGTTGCCCTGCACAGGAGAACGGAGCTGGAAAGCAGGTTAGTGGGGTGGGGAAGGAATTTGCAGTAACCTTCCCCTGCCATGCCCACCAAGCCACACTCACCAAGCCATAACACACCACCCAGCCATGCCCACAGAACTGGTAGAAATTTTTTTTTTTTGAATCCCACCACTGGAAGAAAGAGAGGAAGAAAGGGAAGGAAGCAGAGGTGGTATTCAGCCGGTTCTGACCAGTTCTGGAGAACCGGAAGTGGATATTCTGAGTAGTTCGGAGAACTGGAAGTGGATATTCTGAGTAGTTCGGAGAACCGGCCAATACCACCTCTGACTGGCCCTGCCCCCAACTATTCTCCGCCTCCCGAGTCGCAGCTGATTGGCTGGGTCTCCTTTGGTTGCCCTGCACAGGAGAATGGAGCTGGAATGCAGGTTAGTGGGGTGGGGAGGGAATGGGATTTTGCAATGCATCCTTCCCCTGCCCTGTCCACCAAGCCACACCCCACGCCCGCCCACACCCAACCAGCCACGCCCATCCAGCCACACCACACCTACCCAGCCAAGTCACCCACGCCCATCAAGTCACAACCACAGAACCGGTAGTAAAAACATTTGAATCCCACCATTGCTCTACACGCACCTGTAGGTCATAGCCTCAATGAGGAACGGTTGGTTTTCGGCCACGGCTCGGCGCCGGGCCTCCTTAGTGGCATTATACACGGCAAAGACGTCGTTGCCATCTACACGGATAGACTGGATGCCGTAACCGGGACCCCGGGCAGCTGGGGGGGTGCAACAAGACGTATGAACACACTTGGGAGTCCTGTCTTTCCAGAACCACTTCTGCTAACGTATATATATATATATATATATTTTAATGAAAGGTTTCAATTTTAATTTAAGTTGAGTTTAAAATCTAGATCTAGGAAGGTTTCTGAATTCAGGATTGCAGAATGGTTCCTAACACCAGAATTGAGGTAGTCCTCAGCTTATGACTGGTCGTTTGTCTCACCGATTCCATCGCCCCGGTATTGTTCAGAGGTTGGAGTGGAGATGGCGTAGCCGTTGTTCCGGCAGAAAAAGATGACCGGGCAATCGAGGGTGGCGGCAAAATTGAAGCCGGCGTGGGCATCCCCCTCGCTGGACGTCCCTTCGCCGAAGTAGCAGATGACGATGCGGTTTGTGTTTGCCCGCTTGAAGGCATAGGCGGCCCCCACCGCTAGCAAGGGAAGGAGAGAGAGGGGTCAGGCTGTTCATTCTTGGAGGGGGGGGTTCCCCCAAACATTAAGAGCCTGCGTTGGCTCGGACAGTGAGGAGGTTGGGGAGGAGCCTGGGCCAGTCCTGACAGCTCTCCAAGCTGTAATTGGGAAATCTCTTGAAAGACTGTTGGCCGGGACTTTGCTGGAGCGGAATTCACTGTAAACTCAATAAAAGAGGTTTATGGGACGAGGAGTCGGCTTTGTGCTGTTGGGGAAGTCTAGGTCAGAAGAGCGGATGGGGTCTGTCGGGGTCTCCGGAAGCAAAAACCTGGGACTCTGACGAAGTCTCACCTTGTGGGATCTGGGTGGCCAGCGGAGATGAGATGGTGACGAAGTTCAAGTCTTTGCAGCCGTAATGCACGGGCATCTGGCGGCCTTTCCCGGGGTCACTGGTGTTGCCGTAGCATTGGGCCATAAACAGGTCCAGAGGGTAGCCCCGGTGCATCAGCACACCTGGGAGAAAGAGAGGGAGAGAGAGAGGGAGGGGGAGAGAGAGAGAGAGAGAGAGAGAGAGAGAG